TGAATCTGGTTTACTTGAAATTGCTTTTTTTTATTTAATTTTTTTTTCATTTATTCAAAATTTTTATTTTTTTTTTTATGGTCTGCAACTCCATTCTAACTATTACTGCAGGACTTCAAATGACTTCTATTTATGGTGCAGTAGTGATAATTTTAGTCGATAGTGTCAAATAACCAATATTGATATAACTTTGGTTAAATAATATTTCTGAAGAATATTTGCTGGAAAGAAGTCAAAAAAAAAAATGTTAGAGGGTAATCAATTAAGTGTTAATAGATCTTCAATAAGTTGAGATTTCAAAAATTTTTAAAAAATAGATATATTGAAAAATTTTTGCCCCTTGTAAGAAAATTACGTCTACTAACCTAAAGAACAGTATGCTGTAGAGGATTTCTATTCCTGTTCAGAGCAAGTTATCTTGCTGTTTTGCAGTATTTGGCAAGACAACCAATCAAAATTTTTAGACTTTGTCATTATGATTATGTTCCAAGTATTTACAAATAGTAATGGCTTTTTTAATCAAATGGTAGAGATCTTCAAGAATATCTGTTATTAAACTATTCTATTTTAGAATATGTAGAATGTTATTCCTGGCAACATTTTCACATATACAATAAGCAATTAAATAAGCGTTCTCTATTTTAACATTCTGTAATGATAAGAGTATAAGATAAACCCATTTAGACAAAAATTTATAGAGATTAGATGAAAATTTTATTGAGATTTTATTAGTCACCTAATCTTAGATTATATATTGAAAAGTATAGAATGCATGTGATATTCTTTATTAGTTGGATACACCTGATCATAGTATCAGCTATTAAACTTTATTAAGTGATTTATATTGAGAATGCGCAGTATACATCAGTGCAATTGATGTACAGACTGAGACAGAACATGCTCCTGGAAATGACATCTATAATTGTGCCGTGTATCACCATCCTCAGCTGAATTCAAGATGTATAGCAACAGTTGGTGGTTTCCTACACTGTATAACGCAGGCTGACTTGATATGAAGTTTTTTGAAAATATCACAAAGGGCAGGATTCTGCACAGGTAGGAGGGTTTGGATGAGAGTTTGGCTCCATAATTGCACGATGCTATCGTTACCTTCTGTGCATCGGCAATCTTATATTGAATCTGTCGATGAGATTACTTGTTAATATATATGTATATTTTTTCTCAGATAAGCAGCTGATTAAATTTGTACTTATCTGAAATTCATATAGTCTATGCGTATAATTGCGAATAGATTAGTGGGTCTACCAAAATTCAGCAAATTGGCCCAAATTTGGGGTAGTGATGGGCCAGAACAAAGTGACATTAAGAAATAATACCGGCCGACTATATTACAGCAAAATTATCATTTGGGCAGCTTTACTTAGTGCATAGGCTGCCACTTTATTAGTAAAATTTTGGGTGATTTTAGAAAAAATTTATTAACTCCGGCCTATTCCGACCCAAATTCGGGCCGATTTGCTGAATTTTGGTGGACCCACTAACACTAATCTATTCTTTTGATGGTGACCAGGAACAACACCAGAGCGTAGAATAGATTTCCCGAACACATGATTTTCCGAGCCAAAATTAGCAATGAGAAGTCACGATCAGGTGTAACGTAAAAAAATCCAAACAAACGCCCTTTTTAATGAAATCGAGAATATCTCTTTCCTTGCGTGATTTTACTATCAGGACAGCCTTATAACTCTAAAATGAACTCCATCAAACCAAAACCTTAACGTAAACAAAATTCTAAGCTTTCCGAAGTTATCACGTGTTCGGAAAATCGATCCTAAGCCCTGTCAATCTGGGTGACCAAGGGTGGTTCGAAAATTGGCCAATCACACTAGTACCGGTGATTTGCGAAATTAGCCAATCACCCGCTATCCATAAAAAAAAAACCATGATTTGATAACCATTATTGCTAAGAAATAAAAAAATAAAAAATAAATAAAATAAATAAATAAGCAAACAAGAAAAGAAGAATGAAATAATGAATAAACAAACCGATCAAAATATTAAAGATCATTTTTGTCCGATTCGAGAAAATTTTATAATAAAAAAAATTCAAAATTTACAATGTTCAAATCTATAATACATTCTAAAGTTCAAATTCAATTGTACTAAAATTTTACATGGACTCTTTACTAAGTTGTCCAAATTACACAATTGTTGTCTGAATAGTTATGCAATGTGATAACAAAAGTATTATTACACAATAAATAAATAAATACTATCACCAGATTTAATTGAGTCTGTTATGTGGTAAATATAAACGACAAACAAATTGATATAAATGACTAAGTTTCATTAAAGAATTCAAAAATTAGAAGTGATATAAGAAGTCTTTTTGCCATGCGATGATTGAGGAAAAAAAAAAAAACTAGCCTAAATAACATAGTTTTATCATTAAGCTGTCGTGGGCTTTCTAAGCAGCATAAAGAACATTGGGGTGAAAATTCCTATCTCTCCACCTTCAACCAGAGCATCCGCAGTTTTATTGAGGAAATGGGCCACGTCAGTTGAACCAGGCGCAGCGATGCGAAGACATTCAAGGAAATACACAAATTTATGAGTAGTCCTAATAATTGATAATTGACAACTTAATTAATTAGAAATTAACACATAATTTTTTTTTTTTTTAACATACCATCTGCCTATGCGAGTCATTCTGAATCCTTTAAGGGAAAAACCTCCTTTCAAAGTCATGTACCAAGGTTCATGGCATTCAGATAAAATAGCCAAATCTTCATGTTCAATCAATTCGAAACCAACACGTTTGGCCGCATCAAGCGCTTGTTTATAAGAGCTCAAAGAAGGGATAGAATTACCTTCCTATATTTAAGTCCAAATATATGAGAAAATACATATATTACGGGGTTTTCAAAATTAAAATCCGAGAATCTTATTTTATTTTTCCGATTTATAATTCAACTTAAGTAAAAATGCGATTTAAAAAATCCTACTTATTTTCGAAGTGCGTCACTTATTTGATAATTTTGAAACCCCCTAATGTCTAAAATAAGACAAAATATTTTGTCACAAACCTCAATGCCGTGAATGATGCGTTTATGCTCAAGATTGTTTTCATCATAGTTGGGAGTAGTAACCCATTCGTAAGTAGCAAAGAGACCTCCGGGTTTGAGGACGCGAAATACTTCACCATAAACCATTTCAAGCTTAGGTGAATGAACAGTTGCTTCTATCGCATAAGCCGAATCAAATCTGCCATCTAACTCACGTGGCATAGCAGTGAAGTCGCCCTACAATAAAAAATTTTTTAATTTTGAAGTTGAATTAAATTCAGGTTATAAATTATTTACTTTGATATAATCGGACTTGCTTTCTAATCCTAATCTTTTGGCATAAGCTTTACATCTTTCAACTTGATAACCGTTATTATTAAGACCAGTAACGTGAGCACCTGACAGTCTCAGTATCTCACGAAGGGGTCCCCCGACACCACATCCAACATCCTAATCACGCAAGACATGTAGTTTATTAATATCATATAAACATGTATATTAAGATCATACAGAAATATATATTTAATGTGGTAATTCATAATTCTCACAAGGGTCTTTTGTTTTTCACTTAACCCAAGCTTCACGGCCAAATATTGTTCATGACGTTTGATGGATTGTTCAAATGTGTCTCCTTTATAAGTACGAGCAAAATGAAAAGATTCACCCCATCCTATAGAAAAAATAAATTTCATTATCTTTTTCTGTTATCAATTGATATGTAAAATATGTTTAGTCATCATAATGCAATAAATTATACATGCCATATTCATAAAAATCAGTAACAATGTCATAGAACGCGTTCGTCATAATTTGGGCGTTTTCGCGTCTTTTTTGAATGCCATCCTCTTTATTGGAAAAATCCTTTTTATCTTCTTGCCACATGCCTACGTAACTATCAACAATTCTTCTATTTAATTGACTATCTTTACGATAAATCTTTTTAACGAAGCCATTAGCATCATAAATGATTTCTCCATGGTGCTCTTTAATGCTTTCTGTATCCAAATGGTCGACTTCTGAGAACGACATACTTAAGATGCTCAATACTGAAGACTATAAACTAAAAATGAGCATATAGCGTCAACAAAAAGACGTAGCGGGAGAATAGTCGTAAATTGGCATTCACTATTTCGAAATAGAAAGCGAACGAAAAAAACCCGAGAACGACGAGATAATCAATAAATAAAGTTAACGAAAAATATTGTCATACTAGGACGGGGGCACAAAATCCAATTAGGTGTTTTGTCTATCAAGTTCTGAACATTATAGATTATCTTTATAGAATGGAGAATTTATACGTAAACACATTTTACAATGCAACAATGTTGCTATAAATAGAGTGGCAAAGGAAGTTTTCAGGTGTTGATCCTAATGCATTAATATAAAAAGAAACGATATCGATATATCTAAATTTTTAATTATGTCCATTATTATTTATATTTATTTTTTTATTTCGGTACACATAGATAGATCTAAGTAGTAATCATGGGTATTATTTGTATGATTTCCAAATTTCTACAACTTTTTACCGGTCCCTGTCATGGGATCGCAAATTTTGCACCATGATTGTACGTAGAAATTTCGTTAATAGTTAAATTAAATTGTTCAAGAGTTACCGACCTAAAAAATTTCTCTAAAAAAGTTATGCTATTACAGTCAGGGATTTGCCAAATTAGGGGGAATTTAAATTAACGTTAAGGTTAGGGCCTGTATGGGCTAATAAAAGGTTTCTATATGTAAAATCGTCCCCTTGACATTTTTTCTTAACATACCAAGATAGGTTTAGACTATGAATGGACTGAACAATGTGATGTGCAAAGTTTTATGTATATCATATGTGGGTATATAGTAAAGTAGTACGGTACGGAAACGTAAA